CTTTTCTAATCTATTGTGTTTTGGAGAAGTTAAACAAAAGCAAAGTGCCACGGGCTCAGCCCCAGCAATGTGTTTACTAAAAGCTAAACTCATTAAAAAAATAGTAGGTACCTTTGCATATAAATGAACAGAATCTGAGAAAATTCCTACTTAGAGTTCCTAACTTCCTTCAGGACTCTAGCTCTAAATAACTTGTAGGCAGTGAATGTTCTCATCCTACCACTATTCAGCAGCTTTTCTAATCTATTGTGTTTTGGAGAAGTTAAACAAAAGCAAAGTATTTACTGCATACCTTCCCTCTAATTATCTAAAAGTATCTTTGGTGTGGCAAATTTGTGTTCTCCCTTTCACAGCATGCACTACATTGGGGAAGCGAGTGCCCAGCCATGGACTACATTACTCAGCTCACCTTAGTATGTGGCAAATTCCCATCAATGGAATGTGAACAGAGGGGCCAAAGGCTTCTAAGAAGTAGGTACTGCTTCTCCATTCTCTCTCCCCTTCCACCAACTGAATGCAAACAACATGGAGGCTCTAGGGGTAAGAGGAGCCAGAAAATAGAAGGAGTTTGGATCCCTGAATCATCTTATGAAGAAAAGACAACTGCCACTAACTCTGCTATTGGACAGCTACACAAATGAAAAACTGTCTATCATGATAAGCTACTGATTTGAAGTTTATTTTTAACAGCATGTGGCATTACTATACACATAACTGCTAGAATTAATTAGGACAGGTTAAAATATCCACAAAGGAAATTACAGAGAGGCTTTCTAATGATGTAAAAAAAAAAAAAAAAAAAAAAAAACCAAAATACCCCTCACTCTTATATTAATATTAATCTATCATTTGAGGATTTTTCTAACAGTTATGAAATGAAATAAGCAGTTTATAATGTTTGCTCTGTAACATTCTGTATATTCTGTATATTTGTATTCCAAGAAAATGAAGGGAAATTAGAACAAAAGTGCTTAAAAATTTTTTTTAAAGCCTATAATTAGTTGCACATGTTATTAGGTCAAAGCAAGAATAAAGATTATTCAAGGGCCGGCCCGGTGGCACACTGGAGAATGCGCCGTTTGGGAGTGCGGCAGCGCTCCCGCCGAGGGTTCGGATCCCATGTGGAGACTGGTTCCCGCTCACTGGTTGAGCGCGG